AATATGCTCTCGTCTTGATTTGCAGAAGAGGTGAATGCTGTTTTAATATACTCAAATTTAATAAATATCTTTTGATTCATTCCTTTTGATGAATGTGGAAAAAGATCCCTTCACAAAAAAAGTTTTAATGCATTTACTACATCCTCCAGTGGTAAGAATTTGTGGTGCTTATAGTTACCAGAGAACATTCCAATTGCAGGCTCTATACTTCCCTTTATGCCAGAACATGACACATGGTAACAGCTAATGGCACCTATGGTAAGACTCTTGACTGTCGGATGAAGCTAACTGTTCCCCTTGGAGTTCACCTTGCTTCATAATATTCAGTGCCTTCAGACTAGATGACATGTATGTTGTTACAGTTTTGTCTTGTAGGGGTCAATCTACTTGAGAAATTCAGCTAGAACAGTTTTACCTTCAGGTATATACTATATCCTCGAGTAGTCAGAATTTACTTGTATTTACTTGATACTGTGGTGTTGGAAGCTATGAGAGTACATTCCATTTACAGACCCTGGTCTGGCCCTTATGCTAGACCATGTCACATGGTAACAGCTTATGACTAATGACCAATAGATGACTCAAGCAGACATTTTTTATTTGAAAAAGAAATAAATAAAAAGATTAACATAAATAGATCTACTTGATCATCTTTCATCAATAAATATGTTTTGAGTTTAAAACCAAACATTAAGATTTCAAATTGTATATAAGGTAATGAAGTTGTGAAATGTGATTGTATTTATTGGTAACATATTGTAATCTTATTATCAAGATATATATCATGACATGACAATGTCAATGTCTCCCAGGACACTCATAAAGATGTTTTGTTGTGCCCTAAGAATAAAACTATTGACCCATCTTTGATCTCAGTGAATACCATTCCACCCATTACCAACACTATCATAATGACCAGGTATCACGTTTATCTGTTGATGAGCAACAGAACTACTGTGATCTCTGCATATCTAACAATGCTATGTAGCTGGTATCATTGGTTTGTTGCATAAACCATCAATACCTAGCTTATGTAATACCGCGGTTATCTCATCATTTCATCTTTCCTGATAGCAAACGAACACAATCAAGCAGGATGTCACTGTATCAGCATCAATTACATAACAGAGTGCCTCATCCTATTTTAGCATGGTAATTATCATTCAGCATGTCTGAATGGGTTCCAGATGCTCATCTGTGCCAGCAGACAAGTTGTGCCAGTCTGGTCAAATACCATTAATAACCCAAACATATTCTTCTCCAGCTATTGCCATGGAATTGTTAGCCCTTGAAAGATATTTTCATTGGATGCTCTGATCAATGTGATTTTTATATTCATGTTATTTGTGTTATAATAAACAGAGACTAAATGACAGTCTAGGCCTACTCAGCAAGGAAGAATGCTCCTGTTGTACCCAACATATATGGATACACTTGACCTATATATACAGCTAACCTTCTCTCAGTCCTGCAACATTTATATACACAATCATCCACACTGTCTCAGCCACAGTTATCATACACTGTGTGAACTTTCACAGGAGGCAGGAAAAAGAAAATATACACAAGGCCTCCCAAAATCTGTCACTTCTGAAGATGGCTCTTAATTTGAAAGATTAGAAAAATATTTTTTTCTTCTTTTACTAAATGCCAGTGCCAGGGTACTGCAGCTCACCTGGTTATATATTTAACAGCCGACAATAACAGCACAAAAGCAGCCACTACAAAAGTTTATATACCGCTACTTCAGTAACAGGTGTCCCCAAAGTGAAAGTTGTTATCATCAGTTTCCAGGGCCATGTTTTAGTAACAATTTATTAATGCTAAGACAATCGTATCTCTCACGCTTTAGCACACATTGGTCATCTGAAGGGTACATAACTTCTAAATTTAAAAAAAATATACATAATCAAATTTTCTATTCACATTTAGCTGACACGCTTCTATGTGGGATAGCATACCTAATTTCACATTCACATCTTAGGCAAACATAATACAGACAAGGGCTGCAACAATACAGGAAGGTCACAATACGATACGCATCTCGATATTCTGGTCACGCTACGATACGTATCTCCAAACGCAATGATAAAAAAACAAGACTTAAAGCATGTCAAAATTGACTTCATGATTTTGGAACAGTCAAAATTATTTTATAATAACAAGACAACTGAAGTGGTTAGGCTTCAAAGTAGAACTTTCCCTAACTTTCCTTCAAAACAATTCAAAGTTCAAACACCAGAAAATAATTAATGTACTTCACCAGTGATACAACTTCAAAGAATTTTGATGCAATGGTCGAATAAATTGTATCTGAAATTATTGTTTTATCAGGAATAATATATTCCAATATCGTGGAGTTTAGTCGCAGCTTTTACTATATATATTCTTAAAATCATAAGAACCACAAGCGTAGGATTTTGGTACTGGTGATTGCTGTTGCAGGATATTTATACGTATGGAACAATTTGACCAGTCACCGTAGGGACTTCCCGCGCTACATGTATTTCGATTGCGAAAACGTTATGTTGACATATATTAGCCAAATTGCCACAAATATGACTTTTAACGAGTCAAAGTAGGGCATTGTTAATATATGTATCCATTCTCTAGCAACTAAAGTTCGTTTTAGTGCGTCAAAAGCGGTGATCTGACCGTGGTTGTTGTATCTCTTCACACACGATTTCACCTAACTTAATGAAAACAATATTAAATGAAATTTTGAATAAAATTAATAAAATATATTACAAACACAAGTCCAGATATACAATGAACACGTTTTAATAAAAAAGATAGTATAATAATGGTATTGAATTGTGTACTTCAGTTCGGATTTGCTGACTGGTATTTCCGGTGTTAAGCATGTTAAGTGCTTGCGGTGATCAGCTAATAATGTTTTTTGAGATGGTGAAAAACACCTGTCAGTGTAAAACCTGAGCTTATTAAAAATGTAAGTACGTTTTTTTTAGCCATGCGTTACCTCGCGCTATAACCAAGTTAGCAGTTTATTGAAAGACACAATAGCAAGGAAACGCTGTACTTGAGATTTGCCTTCCGTATCGTGGCGTATCGATATATGGGCCCACGTTTATCGTTTATTGTATCGTTGGTCAAGTATCGCGATGCATCGGAATATCGGTGTATCGTTTCACCCTTAATACAGACTAGTGAAGTACATGAATTGCAATCATGGCTAGTAGTGTATCATCACCACATATCCTTTCTTTTTTACTTGAGGAGCGGTCGGGTAGCCTAGTGGTTTAGGCATTTGATTCTCATGCTGAACACCAGGGTTCGAATCCCCATATGGATACAATGTGTGAAGCCTATTTTTGCTGTCGACCGCCGTGATATTGCTGTCATTTTGCTAAAAGCCGCACAAAACCATAATCTATCACTCTCTCTCATGCGACATAATGATGGCCAATTACTTGTAAAATGAAAAAACTTTGTTCAGTAAGCACTTTAAAATAATATTTTTTCGGGAAATAATGCCTTCATACCTCAAAGTAACCAAAAAATAAATCTGGAAGTTAATGAGCATGTGACTTATGTTTTAAGCTGCGCAGTCAGCAATAATTCCAACCATACTGTGGCGGCTGATAAATAATCAAATCTGGTTCATGCAAACCAGTCTGTGAAACACCTTGGGCATATGATGATATGAAATTAGACAAGCCACAGATGCCTTTGTCAGTACAGAGTAGGTTCTTTCGACAAGGAAGAAGTACTGGGGGCATATTCTGAGCAAGCATCCACACAGGTTTCATCTGTAAAATCTATGCTTAATGTAGATGACATGAAACAGATACACCAACAGTGCTGGGTGGCAAATCATATTCTAGCTGATTCGTAGGCGTTATCCTGCCAAAATCTCACATGAATGTTTAAAAATATTTTGTTCCATCATACTATTTTCAACTGCTGCCGTCTATTTAGTGACTACAGCGGTTAATAAAGTATAAAGTTTCGTCCAGTTAACGTATGTGGTAGTTCGGTTTTTAAAAATTACAGAATTTGGTGTATTTGTTAATACTCTTTCCATCTAAAGTCTCCCATGCAAGATAGCTAATGAACAAACATGTCATGGGAAACTCCATGTGTTGCTTGTGTGCGTTGTATTAGTTTGAATACAGAATACAATATACATCATACAAACTCATCCACATGAAGTTTGATGAAAAATACTTTCTTCAGAAGCACAATTTAAGTGCAAACTGTACAGAATACAGCATATGTTTTAACAATAGAAGTTTTCTAATGAATTATAAGTAAGTGTGTGTTAGCAAAGCTGCAGTATTTGTGTTCTATACATGTAATACTGAAGAAATGTCATGGACCACCTGATAATTTCATATTATAATAGTTAATAGTTAAAGTAATAGATTTCCTTTAAAAATGACATATTCTCTGAGGTCAATGGAACACAATTTACCTTGAAAAGCCACAACAATGTGAGACATCAATTTCAAAACACTGACACATTTTAACAGATTTCATTTTAAAAATGCATGTATCTGTAATTTAAATATTCTACAAAAAGGCTTGGTATGACCCTCACTGGCAGATCCAGAGGCAGACGTATGGGGCACACTCCTCTTTTTCTCAGGCACCTTCAGCTGAGTAATTATTAGTATTATAATATTCCATCCCCCACCCCCTCTCAAAAATCCTTGATCCGCCTCTCATGCTTGTTGAGTATTTGTCCTGTGGTTTGGTGGCGTAAAGTGACACCCCTGTATCTGATCTACAAAGTTATCTACCAACCAATACTTCCTATTGCTTCTTATTAAGCAGGCAATATAAATTATCAGGAACTTCATTTAATGCTTTCAAGTTAACGAATGAAAATAAACCTTTTATCTGTGTGGCAGGCTTGAGGCTTAGAATCTTATCAAAGGTTATCTTCACAAGTGACCTTTGCTGGAAAAGGAAGATAGAGGATATGACACCTCTTTCTAAGGAACTCAATCCGCCGAAAGAAAGGAATGTCAACCTACCTCACGGATTCTAGAGTCTCCTTTAAGAGTGATCTTCCGTTGATATCAATTATTTCGTCATTTATCTTAATTCGACCGTCAGCATACGCCAAACTTCCAGGTTTAATTAATACAACCCGGAATGCCGAGGTCTGGGTGGAGCTGACTGTAGGCGCCATAACACCATTGCTAGACCTATAACTTTCATTCCCACTATCGCTGGCTGTTCTTGGACGCGCAAAAACAATGGGCACACTGTCGATAACGATGCCCAATTCCTTGCCCCTCGGCTGGTAAAATTCTACACAGAAAATCTGATCCTTTCGAGGGGGTTTAGTAGGAGGGGGAGATTTGGAGAGTTCTTTATTCCTGGATTCCGACATGAACGTCGCAATTCGTCTGTCCCTGGGTAAATCCATATCGTCATCCGTCTCCACCTGAGATGTGGACGCTGCGCGTGCCGGGAGGGTCCCTTTTCTAAAATCATACTGAGATTTACCACCTCGACTACGGTTCTTCAAACTACCCCTTCTTCCAGTAGAATTTGGGGGGAAAATTCGACTGAAATATGACTTCAAGGTATCCATATCTTTGCTTCTGACACAAGCTATTTCTTCCCATAACCCGTTTCGCAGTCACAGCTTTCTCCCAAATTGCAGCACCACATGCCAGGGTGGTCACAAGAAACTCAATCCTACTTTTTCCACTTGGAGAATATGCCTGGGAATGCCACACACAAGAAGCGGTCTGGCCTATTTAACACAAGGCATCACCTGGTTCCTCAATGAACACCCTTTTTCATGACATTAAGCTGCGACCGACTAAAACATTTTTGGGAAAGACCTCTTCGGCGACATTTCCCATTCTTTTTACGTTCCAACAATCCTATCCACGCAACAAGTTAGGCGCGTTCCCATCAAAATCGAGTTCACCAGTAATTACTTCACGACCACGGTAAGCAAAGTCCGCATAACACTAGCTCCGTTGGCTTCCCAGGAAGTGACGGCGATTGTCCTCGTCAATTTGGTTCAATTATCTTCAAACAGTTTACTCACATCGCCCCTCTCTTCATGACATGGAAGTGCACTTGTTGCAACTGTCCACTGGTGTCGTCTGCCTCGGGGCACTGTCATGCTCGGTGCGTGTCTCCCGTGATATTAATCTGTTAGCAGACGTGTACTGTGACTGGCGATGGATCTTTCCTTCGTGTGACACAAAACTTAAAACAGCGTTCCTCCTCAAGTATTCTAATACAGGTATATACTATCGATCTTCGCGAGCTCATTGCCCGTCTCGGTGAAGGCGTTCGTAGCCCCCACGTGCTACTGTTTATGTAACTCTCTCGCAGTAGCAGACGAATTATTCTCCCAAACAATCACGTGGCTCAGCTGCCTGAAGTTGACAGATATACACACATAAATTGGGTCACATGCTTCAGTAACTCGTGAGAAAAACGACGGGTGATCGTTATGTATACATTTTGAGGTCACAGCAGCTGATGTAGATTCATAAGTCCTTTATCGAACAGTTTCCACGCGTATGTGATACTAAAGCATCAAGGCGCTAACATCCTATGCAGTTCAGCCAGGGGTGCGCTGATTGGATAATTACCCCATCGACTGGCCAATCAAAATGAGTAACTCGTTTCTCACCCCAAGCGCTGGACATATGGAATCAATGTGTTCCCAGAAAACTTCAATTTGGAGCATAGTTGAGAAAATGGCGGTATGTGTAGTTTTTATGCAGAAACTTAGATAAGAAGTATATGTGATGTCCTCCTTACAGAAATGCATCCGACTGGGATTTGAAAGAAGGGTTGAAATCATGTAAATGTCAGCTCTTGCTTTTCGAATGTGTGTGAAAACGATATTCTTGAAACAGGATCTTTGGCCATCAGGAGACAAGTACCCAACAGCCCAGCCACAGGAGGAAGGATTAACAGATCATGGGCGCCGACCCGCTGGGGATAGGCTCACGTGTACTGCATCGTGTGGGGCTCTTGTCGTCTGGGACTATTCTCTCATAAACGATGAGAGTCTTTGCAGGCATTTAGATGTTGGATATAAGAATGACAAGGAATAGTATGGATAACAAATTCTTTATTATACAAACACAACTTATGAAGGAGCAAGAAGTAGCCCTGAAACGTTGTGATTTCACCTGATGAAGGGGCAAGAAATGACCATGAAAATTTGTGATTTCACCTGAAAAAGGGACAAGACGTTGCCTTGGAACGTTGTGATATCACCTGATGAAGTGGCAATATGTAGCCCCGAAACGTTGTGGTTTCACCTGATGAAGGGAAATAAGTAGCCCCGAAACGTTGTGGTTTCACCTGATGAAGGGAAATATGTAGCCCCGAAACGTTGTGGTTTCACCTGATGAAGGGAAATAAGTAGCCCGGAAATGTTGTGATTTCACCTGATGAAGTGGCAATAAGTAGCCCTGAAATGTTGTGATTTCACCTGATGAAGGGAAATAAGTAGCCCGGAAACGTTTTGATTTAACCTGATGAAGTGGCAATATGTAGCCATGAAATGTTGTGGTTTCACCTGATGAAGGGAAATAAGTAGCCCGCAAACGTTGTGATTTAACCTGATGAAGTGGCAATATGTAGCCCAGAAATGTTGTGATATCACCTGATGAAGTGGCAATACGTAGCCCTGAAATGTTGTGATTTCACCTGATGAAGTGGCAATAAGTAGCCCCGAAACGTTGTGGTTTCACCTGATGAAGGAAAATAAGTAGCCCGGAAACGTTTTGATTTCACCTGATGAAGTGGCAATAAGTAGCCCTGAAATGTTGTGATTTCACCCGATGAAGGGGAAATAAGTAGCCCTGAAACGTTGTATATGTATAATAAAGAAGTTGTCATCCATAATATTCCTTCTCATGTCATAAGCAATGAGTGGTTTCTCCACATATTGTGAAGTAAACCATTGTTTCAGGTTACTATGGAACATCCAGAGCAGTCACGTGCTTTTTTGTTTTACGTCGTATTTAGCACTATTCCAGCTAAATGGCTGTGGCTAGTACATAAGGTCCCCACCAGTGACTGATATTAGTAGCAACGCGCCACGCCGTCGGTCTACGATGACACGCAATCCACGAAGTCCGCGTAGTCTGACCACCCGATCCACTTAGCCGCCTCTGACGACAAGCGTAGTGGAGACCCCACCATGTGTGTGTGTGTCTGTGTGTCTGTGTCTGTGTATGTGTGTGTGTGCTTAAAAATTGTGAGTGAATGAATGAGTTGCTCTGTTTTAACGCAGCTTTTGTTTAATTCCAGCCATATCAACAGAACAAATGGGCTTCACTCAAAGCCAAGTGTTCAGCATGTTATTTTTGTGTGTATATTTTATCCCGAGCGATAACCCAAGCACGGTGTGTCAGATTAGTGTCACAGTGTTAAGTCCAAAGTTACGCAGATCTTCCACTTCCGAAGAGTGACGTCCCCGGTATAAAGTTACCTCATTAAAAAATACACATCCACAAATTAAAAAGTAAATTCAAATGGAGCCCCAAACCATGCTTAATTTCAGGAGTTGCGACAATCTAGATTTGAGTTGGATTTCTTTTTTGATATATTATTAAAGGTCTGGGAGACAGTCTACTACCTCCGTGAAGCCAACAAATACGGATTTCAGCGTTCCACAAAGCTTTCTTAGTGCAGCGGCTATCACAAATATGGAGTTACGGCACTCGTAGAGCTAAAACCGCGTTGGGAACAGACTTATGAGTGCGAAAGATCAATGATCACAATGGCGAATCTCCTTATCGTTATATATTAAGTAACCCTAAAACATATATATCATCAATCGTCTAGCTGACAATAGACATCAGCAATTTACACCTAAGAGGTATCTTCCTGTTACCGTGCCACTATTGCATGGCGACTTATAAATGAAATGTCATCTGACGCAAAATTACCTTTCTTTCTTAGAAGAATATTTTAGGATGAGAATTTATGGATGTCAACTTCTTTATTATGAGTAACACAAAGTTTCGGAGTATATGCTTACTCCTTCATCAAGTGAATGATGGCATATACTCCGAAACGTTGTGTTCCTCATAATAAAGAAGTTAACATCCACAAGTTCTCTTCCTTATGTGTATCACTTCAAGATGCCCTTCAAAGACTTGAAGAATATTTGAGTTGGAGTAAAATAATAATGTTGTAAAATAACTTAAAAAGAATTATCTCAAATAAGAAACATACTGTCTTTTAAAACACTCCAGTCTCTAGTTATATATTTTCTGATGTTGACCCTCTCATAAGTTTCTCACCCTATTCTGCAAAACGTTCTGCTTTACGGAAGCATTTTAGGGTTTCAACACATGTGTCTGAGAAACAAGACCCGTTCATGACAAAAGCAATACCCGATTGTTTTTTTATGCATCATTTACTCAAATTTTGAAAAAACTTCACTGTGTACTGCCTTTTTCCTATCAGTGTCGGGAACATGACTGATGAAAGCGCCAGATTGGTTTAAGTCGGAAAACCAACTCCCGACACGTGAATGGCTTTTGATTAGACCGTGAAAACACTAGTATGTAGACTCAAGGCTGTGAAACAATAGCCAGTAGACGGTTATCCGGCCTCTGTTTGTTTAGCGTGAGTCACTTGTAGGGTTGTCTTAATTGTCATTCGAATGCTGTAAAATGCAACATAAATAAATCGGCCGTGCCGCGGTTCGCGTTCGAGTCGTTCAACAGTGGTATCTCGCCCATGTTATGCAACCCTACTCCGCTTATCTCCCTTGCACATAGATAATGACTGAACATGGAATGCCTCGTCTAAACTTGCAAATTGTTTTAAAACTAACGTTATCATCTGGATCTTAGCAAACTCCATGTTAAGTAAACTTCGAGAAAATAACGAAATGCTCAGCGATAAGCACAGTAGGGTGTATCGCCAAAAAAGCTGCATAGTAACTGTTAAATTATGTAGATATTGGCGTGTCTGAGGAAACTTAACACTTAATGTCAGTTAGTTAATGTGCGACTGTGTTTAATTACACAGAGACAACGTCGAGGATGTTTTGATAATGTTTATAACTTAAGGTACATTATTGTGCATGTATACGAAATATAATTGGGACGAATGTCGGTGACGCAGAACTGGGTTTGGTAAGGCCACAGAAAATACGAAGTGTTCTTTGGAATCGCTATCTATTTTTTTCTATACCATTTGTAGATGTGAGTTTATTACACAGTCCAAGGACCACATCCCGACATAGGTTTCACAGGGAAGACTTCCATACCATATAAATACCAAAAAACTCATATGCTGCAAATGACCTATGTCCCTATATATGCTCATAATATCCATTAACAGGCATGCATTGTTTGTTTGTTTGTTGTTTAATGCCGCAATCAGCAATATTCAAGCTATATGACGGTCTGTAAATAATCGAGTCGGGATCAGACAATCCAGGGTGTGACATCATGAGAATCGATCCACGCAATTGGGATACGATTACATGCATCAACATATAAGTCAGCGAGCCTGACCACCCGATCCCGTTAGTCGCCTCATACGACAAGCGCAGTTGAGACCCCACCATGCCGGTGGGGGTGTGGGGTGTGGGGTGTGGGGTGTGGGTGTGGCGAATAGCCTTTTACGGCAATCATGGGCTGCTTAGGACCTATTCTAACTCGCAATGCATTGTTATCTGTAGTGTGGGACTAACTACTAACGTATAAACCCAGCAGGTGTGGACGTGTACCTAACTACGTATTTCCGCTCTCTGTGCGTATGCGGGACCGCCTCCGTGGTCTAGTGGATTGAGCCTTTACCGGGAGATTGGAGGTCAGTTTTTCGGTACCCTGGCCGCCTCATGCCAAAAGACGTTAAAAGATGGTGCTTGTTGTTACCCTGCCTGCTGCACGGGAATAAGGTGATTTAACATTTTTGAAAACGAGGAATGAACGGCTATAGTATACTGAGTGGGGTATCCATGTTAAACTGTGACATGGTTTCACAGAGTGCTAACTGTATAAAAACGGCTTAAGTCCGGTTGGTTTGGTTTGTTGTTTTACGCCGCACTCAGCAATATTCCAGCTATATGACGGCGGTCTGTAAATAATCGAGTCCGGCCACCCGATCCCGTTAGACGCCTCTTACGACAAGCATAGTCGCCTTTTACGGTAAGCATAAGAGGCGACTAAATGGATCGGCTGGCCCGGTGGCTGGGTTCATAGTATGTGATTGTACCCAGACAGCGAGGATCGTCGCTCACAATATCAATCACTGCGTTGCCTGGCCAAGACTCGATTATCTACAGGCCGACGTCATACAGCTGGAATATTACAGAATGAGGCGTTAATCAATACACAAACGAACAACAAACAAACAAACAAACAGAGGACATCGGACATTGAACACTCACCGTCACTGCAACAGTTACATGTGGTGTGTGGCCTTAAGTGATGTATTGTAATACCGCTGTACTCGGGATAATGAACGATTGCTTGTTAGGGTGAAAAGACAGGAGGTAGTTTAACAATGAGGATGAAGCTTAGCATAATGAAACAGCCATCAGCAGCCATAAATCTGCCTCCGATGATGTTAATCGTACAATCGTGCAGTAAATGAATCAATCTTTTCTCTTCTGCGGTTATAGGCCGTCCATATATAACAGGAGGTGGGCAGCGAACGTTCCACAATCCACGAGTACTGAATAAAACAAACAGGGGTAATGAATAAAGAATAATCAATTTAAGAATCTCTCGTGTCGTTTTTACCATTCTGCATTCAGAATTCAAAGGCATGAAATGATGGATGATTGATGCCTCTAGTTGAATCCCCCCCCCCCCCCCCCCCCCCCCCCCACACACACACACACACACACACACCCCACCCCCCTCCCATCATCATCTTGGTCTTCCGCTGCACATCTGCATGCAGTCTGTTTCACCCACATCGACTCAGCCTCAAGTAATCATTTTTTTACAATGTTGACATGACTTATGATGTAAAAATCATTGATGATGAGACTGTCAGCGAAGTTTGCAAAAATGTTTCCTCAAGGGGTGTGTAACGAGGACTGCAGATATACTTGGACTGTTCATGTAATTTCATCGTACATGTTATACGTTCATGAAATTTTGAAATCCCACATGAAAATCGTTAAAGTTACACTTTTCGTATTCAATTTCAATATTTGTTTGCAAATATGAACAAACAGATTGCAAATAGAAACACATATGCTTTTCCTCCTCGTGTTTAAATATATCTAAAGGAAAATTCATATTGAACTTTATAAAAAATACACTGATATAATACTTTCAATACATATGTAAAGAACTTTGAAATACATATTGGAAATCATTAAAAAGGCAATGTACATAAAATAATTTTTTTTAAGAGGTTATTGTTTGAGTGTACATTTTGATAACAGATCGTCAGTGCTTGATGCACGGGCGTTAAATGAGTATGCGTAAAGCAACTCTATGTAAACGAGTTCTCGAGTAGATTATACCTTGTGTACCCCAGATGCCTATCAAATCCTTTGTTCAAATCTCCCCGACAATCGTCCCCCACAGTGATGTCCTGGTGTATGTGTGTAACACGAGACAGCTGGACAGATATACCGCGGCAGAGAGACAGCCTCTGACATTTCATGCAGGCTGTAATTCAAGCCACATCCATATGCTATTGTACAGATTGTCTCATCACCGCCTAGCTATGCGAACAGGACACAATAGATGTCTTTACCACTTTCAATCTCTTCCTTAATCAGTTCGAGAGTCTTTGAGGGAATTCTTAAGGCTTCAGTCGCACGATGGGCATCAAATGTCGACCACAGAAGCTCTGAAGTGCGTCAAAGTCGACCGGGCGTTGTTGAATGTGTAGCCGTATGGCTTTCTTACACAACGTGTGCTTTCTGGCGGTCTGTAAATGACGACATATTTATTGGGTTTAGCAGTTTGGGATTCCACATTAAGTCTGATACAGAAACAGATGAAGGGCGTACACTTGGAGAACTGTCGACATTCATGACGGTTTTTATTATAACATGTAATACTTGTGAAACCGCCTTCTCCTTTTTCACACGACTCGAACATTTTAAGAACCATTTCTTACAGAGAACATATTCGTGTGGGTTTCACCAGAAGGGTATACGTAAACGTCTGAGACATGCTTGCCTTCCTACACCAAGATGAGACGCCGTGATATAACTGAAATACTGTTTAACGGGGCGTTAAAGCCCCTCACTTACAGAGCTCAAGTCCAAGTCTAAGTTCAAGGTCAATATTCAAAGTCCAAGCCGAAGGCCCAAGTTCATAGCTTAAAGACCGCGTCGAAAGTTCAGCGTAAAAATATGCACATTTTAAAGCAACCAAGTGCATCCATGAAGACCGATTACTTGTCATAACCACTGCCTCAAAAATGCTTTCCCCCGTTTCCTTACATTTGCTCAACTCCTTGGGGATTCAGCGGCAGAATCCCTAGCATCCCTTCTTGTCTTAAACAAATTGACTTAGGAGGATCGTGTAGTTGCAAAATATGATGACGATCATTACATGTGTTTTCGTGCCCGACGGCAATTGTGGTGTTCATGCAGTCAACCATCACTTTGCCTGGTCAAGACTCGATTTTTATTGGGCGGTCGGGTAGCCTAGTGGTTAAAGCGTTAGCTCGTCACGCCGAAGACACGGGTTCGATTCCCGACATGGGTACAATGTGTGAAGCCCATGTCTGGTGTCCCCCGCCTTGATAGTGCTGGAATATTGCTAAAAGCGGCATAAAACCATACTCACTCACGATTACTATTACAGACCGTGGACCGTCGTGGTATAGCTGGAATGTTGCAGCAGCGGGTTGACACCACTCACTGACATCCATTCAGTTAAAGGCTGTTTCCGAACATTAGCGAACTGAAGATCTCGAACCCTTTTAAACAATTTCAATATGTTACGAATATTCACATTAACTTTTGCCATTTTCAACCAATGGTTGACGGCTGGCGATAACAGAAATATTATTTGGATTTAGGATATTAAAATGGTATCGTTTGAGGCCAGCGTGTGTGGATCTTCTCATCCTCAATATCCTTTCCTCTTCATCTGTTTTTGCTATTTCCTTCTTAAATACTCATTAAATACTAGACGAGGCCAACTACTTCCGGTACGGCGAAAGGTAAGTGTATTCCTGCAATTGGGGTTCGGCTCCACTTGCCACCTGTGTTCCATGACAAATGCTGATATATTTGCCACAGTTAGCTTTCATCCATATCTCAGTTTCCCGAGTACCAGTAAATGGACAAATCGGTCGATTGCAATGTCTCGAGGGCCATGTGGATAATGGTAGAACCATTGTTGTGATGGGAGTCAGGTCTCTTGATACGATTTCCTATGTAAATAGCGGCAACTTAAGAACCTAACCAATGTTTGTTCTCTCGAACAACTTACAGTACTTATTTTTTAGCTGAGCCCCAATCAAGACACTCGCACCTAAACCAGCTCTCGGATCCCTTTGGTCTACCAGCTTTCATTATAACGAGAAAGTCAAGAGGATCGATCGCCCAAAAAATGTGCGTCTTAATCATTTCAGGATGTGAAACTGTCTATCACTATGTCTTAGAATTAACTGATCTTACAGAAAAAATTTAAATGGTTTGTTGAGACAGAACACGCATATCGGCATGAGATGTTGTTTACTTGTGCAGACACCATTGGGAAGGATACGTTTTAAGGTGTCTAAACCAATCGCCATTTGGAAACTAGACAGGCTTTTCGGCCAATTGACATGATTTGGGATTCTCAAAATATTTAGTAAGTGAACGTTCTTTTCAACCGCATTTTGCGGAGCCTGCAAATAATCGAGTTTTGACCAGGTCCACCGGTCATTGAAGGCTGCCCGTGAAGATCCGGTCTAGATAGGTCTTCAGCAGCCCATTCTTGCCCTAAAAGGCGCCTATGCTTGTCGTAAGAGGCGACTAACGGGATCGGGTGGTCAGGCTCGCTGACTTGGTTGATGCATATCGTCGTTTACCATTTGCGTGAATAGATGCGCATGATGTCAATCACTGGATCGTCTGGTCTAGACTAAATTATTTACAGACTACCGCCAAATAGCTGGAATATTGCTGAGTGCGACGTTAAACAGCAAACAAACAGACAAGTGGGTGGTGGCAATGTATTCACGCTGTCGGGGACAATGGCAGACAATCGATCAATGGAACCACCCGATCCTCATTAGTCGACTCCTCCTAATACATTCAGGAGTGGTGTGTACCTATTCTTATCCGGAATCAATCTACAGTAAACTACGGTTATAACGAACTCAAAGGGGCCACTTAATTTAGTTTGTTATAACCGTAGTTCGTTATAAGCATACATACAGCATATATACAACAAATGACCGGGACCAAAAAAGTAAGTTCGTTATATCGGCCAGTTCGCAATAAGCGTGTCCGTTATAAACGTAGTTTACTGTAATTAAAATCAGATCTTTTACCCCTATACGTTACGTTGTTCTTGCAGAGAGATTTCGGATGGAAGTGAGAGACGTCTGATTTTAATGGAATTGCCCTAAGATCCACTTGGGATGTAGGCATAATGTTTGCAGTACTCGGTGTGTGCGCATATGCACTATTGTATTCAGACGTTGTTACGATGTTGTTTTTGTCAAGGTTAGGTTTGGTCGGACAAGGCAGCAATAGTCATGTTAAACACAATGTTACGTTTCATTAAATCTTGGTGCGACAGTACATGGTACTTTAAAATGCTAGTTTCTCTTAACAGAGCAGCGATGTTTTGCGATAATCTCAAAGTTACGTTTCCCTAATACATGCATGCTACTCACAATATCATCCGATACAATACACTTGATGTGATCATGCATCAATACGGTACACGTGATATGACTCTGCATCAATACAGTACACTTGATCTGACCCTGCATCAGTACGGTACACTTGATCTGACCCTGCACCAATACAGCACACTTGATCTGACCCTGCATCAATACAGCATACTTGATCTGACCCTGCATCAATAAAGCATAACTGATCTGACCCTGCATCAATACAGTACACATGATCTGGCCCTGCATCAATACGGTACACTTGATCTGACCCTGCACCAATACAGCACACTTGATCTGACCCTGCATCAATACAGCATAACTGATCTGACCCTGCATCAATACAGTACACATGATCTGGCCCTGCATCAATACGGTACACTTGATCTGACCCTGCACCAATACAGCACACATGATCTGACCCTGCATCAATACAGTACACATGATCTGGCCCTGCATCAATACGGTACACTTGATCTGACCCTGCATCAATATGGTACACTTGATCTGACCCTGCATCAATACACCATACTTGATCTGACCCTGCATCAATACGGTACACTTGATCTGACCCTGCATCAATACACCATACTTGATCTGACCCTGCATTAATACGGTACACTTGATCTGACCCTGCATTAATACGGTACACTTGATCTGACCCTGCACCAATACAGTACACTTGATCTGACCCTGCATCAATATGGTACACTTGATCTGACCCTGCACCACTATGATACACTTGATCTGACCCCGCATCAATACGGTACACTTGATCTGACCATTCATCAATACGGTACACTTGATCTGACCATTCATCAATACAGCATACATGATCTGACCCTGCATCAATACGACATACTTGATCTGACCCTGCAGCAATACGGTACACATTATTTGTCCCTGCATTAATACGGCACACATGATCTGACCCTGCAATAATACGGCATACTTGATCTGACCCTGCATCAATACGGTACACTTGATCTGACTCTGCATCAATACAGCATAACTGATCTGACACTGCATCAATACAGTACACATGATCTGGCCCTGCATCAATACGGTACACTTGATCTGACCCTGCACCAATACAGCACACATGATCTGACCCTGCACCAATACAGTACATATGATCTGGCCCTGCATCAATACGGTACACTTGATCTGACCCTGCATCAATATGGTACACTTGATCTGACCCTGCATCAATACACCATACTTGATCTGACCCTGCATCAATACGGTACACTTGATCTGACCCTGCACCAATACAGCACACTTGATCTGACCCTGCATCAATACACCATACTTGATCTGACCCTGCATCAATACGGTACACTTGATCTGACCCTGCATCAATATGGTACACTTGATCTGACCCTGCATCAATACACCATACTTGATCTGACCCTGCATCAATACGGTACACTTGATCTGACCCTGCATCAATACACCATACTTGATCTGACCCTGCATTAATACGGTACACTTGATCTGACCCTGCATTAATACGGTACACTTGATCTGACCCTGCACCAATACAGTACACTTGATCTGACCCTGCATCAATACGGTACACATGATCTGACCCTGCATCAATACGGCACACTTTATCTGACCCTGCATCAATACGGCATACTTGATCTGACTCTGCATCAATTCGGCACACATGTTCTGACCCTGAATAGTACAGCACACTTTATCTGACCCTGCATCAATACGGTAAACTTGATCTGACTCTGCATCAATTCGGCACACATGTTCTGACCCTGAATAGTACAGCACACTTTATCTGACCCTGCATCAATACGGTAAACTTGATCTGACTCTGCATCAATTCGGCACACATGTTCTGACCCTGAATAGTACAGCACACTTTATCTGACCCTGCATCAATACGGTAAACTTGATCTGACCATGCATCAACACGGCACACATGATTTGAAATATCATGCGAAGTTAAAAAATAGGAAGTATTTCAAATAACATAGACATATTCATGTGGCGGTGAAGGAAATGACTTCTCCATTACACTTTATGAAAACAGGAAGACAGAATATAATTCTTATCTACACGGCAAAAATGACACACAAACTGAATAAAACACACAATCCAACGCCTCCGCAGCAGTTGCAGTTTCAGTCTGTTTAGGCGAAATGGAGAATCCCCTCCAGTGGTAAGGATTTAAGGAGCGTTTCATTGACCACCTTGATGGGTCTCCAAACGTCCACGTGTCATAAGACAATAAGAGGCGTGCGTAAAATACCCATTTAGTCCGCGGAAGCGACCCCGCAATGAATTTAACTGATTCGTTTCTCATCATGGCCCCATCAGGATCGATTGATCGATCAGTCTGCCCGTCTCCCTGCCAGCCTGCTTGCCTGTCTGTAACCGGGCGAAACAGCGGCGAGGTTGTATGTTAGTCACAAAGTTCCATATAACCGGGCGAAAGAGCAATGTTTGTTGTCACACTGTTACATATTTAATCGGATGAGACAGCGATATTAATCACAATGTTACATATATCCCGTCGAGACAATGATGTTGCATGTTAATCACAATGTTACATATATCCTGGTGAGGCATCGATGTTGCATGTTAATCACAATGTTACATATATCTTGGTGAGGCATCGATGTTGCATGTTAATCACAATGTTACATATATCCTGGTGAGGCATCGATGTTGCATGTTAATCACAATTTTACATATATCCTGGTGAGGCATCGATGTTACATGTTAATCACATTGTTACATATATCCTGGTGAGGCATCGATGTTGCATGTTAATCACAATGATATATATATCCTGGTGTGACATCGATGTTACATGTTAATCACAATGTTACATATATCCTGGTGTGACATCGATGTTACATGTTTATCACAATGTTACATATATCCTGGTGAGACATCGATGTTACATGTTAATCACAATGTTACATATATCCTGGTGTGACATCGATGTTACATGTTTATCACAATGTTACATATATCCTGGTGAGGCATCGATGTTGCATGTTAATCACAATGTTACATATATCCTTGTGAGGCATCGATGTTGCATGTTAATCACAATAATACATATATCCTGGTGAGACATCGATGTTAATCACTAAGTGTGAATAATAATAATCCATTTGCATTGCGCTTCCAAGTGCTAAATACATTTGACCAGCGTGCTCTCGAGGTTCATTCTCAGCTCCCTGTGAGATGCTCGAAGGTTAACAGTCACATTACCATCTCATCCTACCGGGTACCCATTCACTGCTGGATGAGACATATTTCGAACAAAGTCACTTGTCCCAGGAGACATAATCTGTGTGGGGCAGGGCCAGGGCCCTAAAACCTCTCAAGACTCAAGCTGCGGATCACCGTCACTAAAGGCAGTTTTGCTATGTTTTCATGTTTTATTTTCTTCCGATCGACCGTTCCTCCGAAGCTGAGGATGGGTATGCGAAACACACAAAATAATATGGATGACTCTACAAACAGTTAGCTTGCTACAGGTCCTGAAAGTTGAATTGTTTATTGGCATATCTAAAAAGTGATGAAAAAGTAGACATCAAAATATGGATAACAATTTCTTTATTGTACTATAAATTAGACGTTTCGGTATAGATCCTTATACCGTTGTATACTGTTGCTTGGCAACGGTTCAAGGGTCTTCACTGAAAAGTCGCTTTTACAGTTTTATAAAGAAGTTGTTATCCCTATCTTTTTGTCTACTTTGTGCCGAAAGTTGACCTGACTGGGTGAAAACATATTCCGGTGTTAAACAGTAGCATCTTGAAGGCGTGAGTCATGTGTTTATATCGCGTTCCTGGCTCAGGTCCAGCTCAACTCCCATCAGCTGTTCGGCGGTACAATGCATCCTATGTTATTTCCGCTAACGACAATTCCTTCATCAAAATGAAATTCCGTTTGAGTTAATCACATCGTGCAATCTACTTGCCTCTTATACTTTCAGACAAAAGTGACGAATAGATAAATTAATAATAATAATGATGATATTGACCACACAGCTTTCAAGATTAATCTTATACAAGATACATAACATATCAAAAGTAAGGTTATACCACAAATGCTAGAAATATCGAACTGGGAATTCAAAGTAGCCAGATATGCTACCATAACTTTTGAAAATGTAAAACGTAAAGGCAAGAGAGTAACCAGTCTCGATTACCCGCCGAAACAGATTCCATTGGGAGTAAAAGGCAACATTAGCAGTGAAAATTATATGAATGGATCACTGAAAATCAGTAATTACACCAGGTGTTCGCGTAAAGGCTAAACATGTTTCCTCAAGAAACAATTAAATGAAATAATTTTTCTAATTGGAATTAATTTTATTATCATAGAACTATATGGGCTGTTTCCGCGCATACAAATTCCAACGCACAGATGGAAATCTCAATGTTATAAATAACATGATCATACCACCATGTCAATTATCAGATCTGATGGTCCACGTGATCTTGATAGAATACTGTGTATCCCGCCTTGGAGGGGACTACATTTCTCAGCGGGTAAAAAATAAATCCCTTATACCTCGGCACAAACAACCCAGGCTTTACGTGTTTTTTTTGAGAGAGAAAATTGATCATATATATCCTGCTTCAAAGCACAAAAAGCAAAAAGCCGCACGCTTTTACCGAGTCAATGGAAGTCACATGACCTAGCACAAGCTTACCTCCGCTCAACCAAACAGCTGTTTTCAATCAATTTTGAATTTGTTTGAATTATTTTACAATGTCATTAGGCGAGTGGTATAAAACCTAACGAGGGACTCACGAAACCCCATGTACCCCTCGTGATCCTGATACAACTTATAACGGAACAAGTTACCTTAATGTACTGGTATAGGGATACTACTTTCATACAACTACTGTATCTCACACATGGAAACATATAGTAATCCCGTGCAGGCCTATAAAAAAATATAGCAAGTCCAGATTTCTTCATCTTATGAAGATATTCTTTTGACCACCTTTTGTTATAAGAGACGCAGAGAGATTCTTGGGAATTCTTTCCGTAAACTATTTTATAACTATTAATATAACACAACTACTACTACTACTACTACTACTACTACTACTACTACTACTACTACTACTGTCTCTGCTGCTACAACTACTACTACTACTGTCTGCTGCTTCTGCTACTACTACTACTACTATTACTACTAGTACAACACCACTGCTGCTAAGTCTACTGCTACCACTGCTATAGACTAACATTTAGTCTCTGAAATCTTATATTATACAATATCCTTCTTGACTCTAAAAATAAAAAAAATTCCCTATGCTGATTTCAGAATGTGGAATAGAGCTAGCTTGAGCTGGCTAGACTTGCTTTTGTATGCATTTCTAGATTATTATTTTTTTCATAAAATAAATATATTCCACGGTCATGGTGCAGGACTACCACTGCTACTGCTACCACTGCTACTGCTACCACTGCTACTGCCACTGCTACTGCCACTGCTACTGATATTGACATCTTCCCAAGGCAAGGGAGTTAACTTACTTTAAAAGTTCAGTTACCTCCCTTGTCGAACTAGCCAAGATCTTAGTGCCACCAGTGGATATTACTAGTGGCCTAGTGGTTTAAGCGTTCGCTCGTCACGCCGAAGACCCGGGTTCGATTCCTGACATGGGTATAATGTGTGAAGCCCATTTCTGATGTCCCCCGGCAGTTGGAATATTGCTAAAAGTGGCGTAAAAACATACTCACTCACTCACTCATAGCTTCAAACAAAATCGTCAAGACCATCTCATGGATAATAAAGATTTCTGATTGTAAAACGGATTTTACCTCTCGAAGTGCATCAAATCACTTGAGCACCTTGATTAAAAGCATGAAAAGATTGGGAAAATATATGTCGACGCCCAGTTAACGGTACGAATGCTATGCAAATCCTGCAGTCGAACGAATTCGGCACGTCATTTGCCATGTCATTTATGAGTCGGAGGTCGATTTCGTTAGGGGATTTTGATTGGACTAAGCATAGACACGTTACTCCATCCAAAATATAACTCCATAATTTCAGCCTATAGTTCGGCAAGGGTGGAAACTGGACTCTATACGTCAGGTAACTCCCCTGCCTCGTGAAGATGTACTACTAGAAGACGGTGTTTATTTAGACGTAATAAAGGACATAGGATCGCGTACACATCCAGAAGTACTAAGTGAGAAAGTATATTACAATGAATGCTGTCTCACCATATAAACTAATAATCTTTTTTCAGATGGTTGCATTTGATGATAGCATATAGAGAATCTCACCGAGAGTCTTTTGATATCAGATATATCAACACGAGTTGATAAAAGTGGGAAAACTCCGAGGCGTGCCGAGGCATTCTTCCAACTTTTTCAGTTTGTAGACAGTAATAAGCAGTGTCTTAGGTGTAAAAAGTACTGCTAACAGCTTCAATAGCAGAGCCATTAGTGATGTCATTTGATTGTGACGTCATGGTAACCAATGACGTCACAATGGTCTGCAAAGCATTGTGATGCAATTTCATTGCAGCGATATCTACAGTGTAGATATCGCTTGATCTCCCCCAAGCGATATCTCCTGTGGGAGCCAGTTTTGGATGATAAAAGCATATTAAATCTTTGGAATGATGGATATTCATAAAAAAAAGTTGATGAAAATACAAACGTCG